AGAAGGATTTTAAAGGTACTTCTTCGTCCTCCAGACGAAGCCCGGAAGGTTTATACACGGTAACCTTTCAGGACGCTGTAGCTCGCCTTCAGCTGCGCCCATTCCGCCGCTATCGGAGGAGAGCGGGGCAGCGCGGACCCCGGGGCTGAGGTGGAGGAAGCAGTCCGTGGAAAACTTGCAAGTTGGGACCAAGATTCCCACGACCCAGTGGACCAGTCCGCCTCAGCGATCTCCCGCCTGACGGCACGCACGCGCATGCGCGCGCGCTCCCGCTCCTCCGCCCGCGCTCTCCGCGCACCACGCCCGTGACGTACGCCGACGGGGCGGCGGGCGCGGAGCAGAGGGGGCGGGGCGAACGCTTCGGTGAATGGGGCACGGCGCAGAACCGCACATTCCAGGCGACACGTGACCATGCCGCGCGGACTGAGGTAAACAAGCCGCGGCCCCGCCTCCGGGCCCCCTCCGCGCGCCGCGCGACGCGCGGGCGTTCTTCCCGGGGCAGTCCTCGCGTCCGCCGCGGGCCGGAGCCAGGGGAGCGGGCACTGCGTCCCGGGGCTGTGGCCGAGCGCACACGGGGCTGGGCGCGCTTCTCCTCCCTGCCCCCACCGCCCGCTGTGGCGCAGCAGGAATTTGGCGGGGACTCGAGTGCTATTTGCGGTTCTTGACGCCGTGCAGGAGGCTTCTGGTGGCCCTTCGGTCATTTCTATTCTGGGGGCCCTGGGTCACTGCCGTCGGCCGGCAGCCGGCGGCCCCCTCCCCGGAGCCGGGAGGGTGTGTCCCCCGCGCGGGGGCTTGGCGCGCCTATAAGTGGGCTCGAGCGGCGGGCAGGGCCATGCAGCTCTACAGCAGCGTCTGCACCCACTACCCAGCCGGGGCACCGGGACCTACGGCTGCGGCCCCCGCGGCGTCCGCGGCCACCGCCCCCTTCAAAGTATCCCTGCAGCCCCCGGAGCCTGAAACCGGGGAGCGCCAGCCCGCCGGGGCCGCGGAGCCCAGAGAAGCCGCCGCCAAGATGCCCGCCTTCTCCTCCTGC